AAAAGATATGTTAAAAACTCTTACGTAATATTTCAATACTGCTTAAAATAATAAAATCATATACATACTCCGGGCCTAACTAGTTCAAACGCAGCGATTGAGGTTGCGGTGCAGGAATTTTCGGATGCGGATAGTTGCAGTTTCTAGTGATATTAAGCGTTTTATATGAATGGTATAATGTTTAAAAATAGTTATGTTTGTAGGTAATGCTTTGCTGGTGTATCCACCGATTCAAAATTTAATTAATAAAAGTTATTTAATAGACAAAAAAATAATTATAAAAAGTTAATTAAAAATGATAATCATAAAACCCAAAAACAAAAACAAAATAATAGTTAAAAACACTAAATTATGGTATGATTATTTGTTGTTGCAATAAGGTCAAGTGATGCCCAATATAGCTCTATCAATGGGATTAGATCATGTGCTCCTCTCAAACATTTGAGAACAAGATCATATGTTTCTCAGTTGCATTCGGAGTATCTCTAATTGGAGTTTGTAACCAGTCTGTGTCTACTTGTTCCATATGATCAAGATCATGGGAATCATTTTGCATCTGAACCTTTTTCTTCATCACTTAACTCGTGGACTACAATGTTGTACACCAATTCTTCACCACATTTAAATTATATAATACATATCTAATCTACACCAAATAATAAAATAAAATAAAGAATCTGAAGCTAAAATATACGGAAATCGACAGTGCGAATATGAAGCTAAATAATTAGGGTTTTCCTAAGTTTTCTTATTTTACGGAAATCGACAGTGCGAATTTCGGATCCCAAAAAGAATATAATTTTGTCTTGAAATCATAAAACAACAATTATTTTAAAAAAAATACATTTCTACATTGAAAAAAAATTGAAATGCAGGGAGTATATATATTGTGAAACCAACAATTTATATTTTATCAAAAAATTCTAAAATAGAAGCATCTGAAAAGAAATTTATTTGTAAATTAATATGTCCTCAAATTAACAAAATACCTTAAGCTCAACATTAATTATTTATAGAATTTCTAATTAACATTTTTTTGTAAGAACTATATGTTTGTTAAGAAAATTAAAATAAGCTAATGACTCATATATCATCACTAAAATAATTGTTTTGGCAAATTCTTTGATATATGGTAAACTTTAATAGAGATCATATCTACTTATTATTGACAAATGCTTTGAAACTGGAACCAAAAGTTTTCAATTGATTTAAGAGGTCTTTTGGAAGCATTTTTTATTCGAGTTTCTAAAAATAAATATGATCCTGATTTTAGTTCTAAAATGAGCAATTGACCTCCAATTAAACTTATGTGGTAGCTAATTCACAACTATTGTTCTGAAAAATGCTACCCTAAACTCGAAAGGTTATGATATACAAACATCTCAGATTTGTGTGTTCATTTTCTTTGAATTTAGATGATGAAAATATTATTAGTGGATCTCAATTCAACAAAACATAAATGTTATATCAAATGAATCACATGCAAAATAATCTGAAAGTTTAAATTATAATAATAAATTTCACACAATATCAAAGTTTGAAATTCAAGTCTACAAGTTTTGTCAGATGCGACAGTTGATGAATAGATATATATAATATAAATAAAAAAAAAAAACTCAAAGCGCACTCAAGTTACTTTAGAAATGGTGGTGGGTCGATCCATAGACTACCATCAGAGCATAGTTGATTCGGCTGACCCGGATAGTACCTGGCATCATCATATGAGTAGGATACACATTACATGTTGTTACGTACGCCATACTTTGGGAAGTACACGCTGTTCTTCATCCCTAAAACATCCATTCTAGTCTCCGAGCACCACATACTTGCAAATATTGTGAGGCCATCTAGTGTACTACTCATCTCTTCCCATTTTGAGGAGACTAACTTATAGACCACTGGTTTCTCACTGCCATATGTAGACATGAGAATTAGCTCTCCTTTGTGCTCCATCAAGTAAAGTTTCTTTGGCTGATACGAGAATTCGTTGTTATGAATTTCAGGGAATATAACATCCTTCCATGCTTTTTGTTTCAATGTGCGAGAAGCTGGATCAAATTCAAATAAAACACCTCCCGAGGTGAAGCAGTAGAAGCGATTATTAGTATAAACCAGGTTGCTATGGATATTGGGGTCAAAAGCAAGACAACATTGAAACGTCGTAGTTATCCACTCAGTTGCTCCATGATAGAAAGTGCCTATGGCCACAATATATTCTGAAATAGGGTTTAACGTGACCAAAGTACAAGTTTCCAATGTAGGGGCAGAAGAGAAAGCGATTTCATGAAAGTTCAAATCATATTTTTGCAAGCTTATGAGCTTCCGAGAGTAGGGGTTGAAAAATAAGAATTCCAAAGAGAATGATTTACGAATAAGCAACCAGCCGTCTTTTGAGTAACAAAAATCAGTTAAACCTGTATTGGGTAGGTTCATTGTGTACTTCTTCCTCTGCAACGGATCAAAAAGGTCAATAGAGTTTCGACATAACGGAATGGAGACAACCCATAGGTACTTTTGAACAACCGCAACCGATTTAGCGGCTTTATGCCATGCCTTGCAGACTGTAGATGCACGGATGCTATCTTCTAACGAAAGAAGTGACATTATCGCTCCCAAGACGCATGCTGGAAGGTCAAAACTGAAAACCTTTTTTTCTCTTAGGCCTACTGATGTTGTCATCTTTGTTGGACCTACAAATAGTTAGATAAAAAAATTAATACATTCAAGAATTTTCATTATATAAAAAAAATTCTCAAACTAAAAGTCATAAGAGAGAGAGATGCATAAGAACAATAATATACATTAATTTCATCAAAACCGTAATTTTTACATACTGGAAAGTTAATTAAATCCTCAAATCATGCAAATATTATGTGAGATTATTATGAAGATATTGATATACCAATAACGTCAAAGGAACCTTTGATTTTGTGAAAGATAGAGAAAGAAAGAGAGAGATAACTCACAAGATAATAAGGTTTCTTCTCTCATCAGTCATTTTGATTGAAGTCCAAATGTTAAAAATATTTTAGAACAAGTAAAAACTATATATAGGGGGGAAATATTATAGCAGTAATTAAATATTTGAAAGAGTATACTAGTCAAACAAAGAATATAGTATTTATTTTGAAGTTACAATAAATATATTTATTTTAAGGAAAGAAATATGTCTGAAACAGGTAACAGAATATGTCAATGAGACCATATGTTTCCAAATTCAAAGCATGCATAAAAACTGATAAATTTTGTGTTTAAACCATATTTTAATTTAAAAATAAAAAATATTTGGAAACATGTGTATCATGGATTATGTCGAGATTAATGATTATATTTACTATTATCTCAAGGGAAGGTGTTGGAAAGAATATCTCACAATGGAAATATGAAAGAGACTTATAATATAAAAGTGATTTGGGTCATTCCACTTACTACCAATTGTTTTAAGTTGGAAGCCCAAAACAATTAACATGGTATTAAAGCGGACTCACCCATTAATCCGGCCCGGACAGTGACCTGATCAGCCACATTAATTGATAACCCATAAAAAGTTCAGATCTGGCAACATTGTTAGAAAAAGCAATGTCTCGGAGCAGGTATGATATTTTATGTTGAGATTAATGTTATAAGTACCATTATTTCGAGGGAGTCTGTTTGAGAAAAAAAATCTAATATTGGAAATATGAAAGGGACTTATGTACATATAAGGATATGAGTCAGTAAACATACTACAAATTGAATTTATGTTGGAAGTTCAGAAAACTTCTTAAATAATGCATTAAGCTTAGGATACATTTTGATTCATCTGTTTCGGGTCCTTTGCTACCCATAGAAGTCGGCAGCACATGCAGAACAGTGCAAGGTGAATAATTGTGATTTGCATCAGGTATCTAGTTAATGGTCATTCTACTAAGAGAAGTATAGAGACTTATCAGAACAACAAAATGCTCAAATCAGGATTAGCCGAGGAGTCAAGACCAAGCAGACCTCCATTGAATCCTAGATAAAGACGATGCAGGAGATTAAGAAGAACCCAAATACTCATAATATATCTATGAATGATGCGTAAGGGTTTTATATTGTTGAAATCTCTTCTCTTGATGTTTTAAATTCATCAACTGCAATGAAGTAATATATCTTACTTTTATACTGTTTTTTTTAAAAAAAAATTTCCTTATGCTAGAACAAGGTTATTCAACACCTTTTCAGGTTTCTCAAAACCTTATCATTCCTTCTTAGATACCTTTTACAGAAGATCATTCATATATGTTTATTGTAGCCATTTTTTTGTCTTGTTGGTGAAGAAAAGTAACAAGAATGCTATCATTGCCATTTTTGTCGTGTAGGATCTATGGGAAGAATAATATCAAACCTATCCACTCCAAACATACCGAGATAAAAGCGAAATTTCCTACAATAAATAAACATTTTACCACAAGCACAATCCTTAAACACACTTCTCATGCATGTATGGACTTCTATTACTAAAGGAATGTACCAGAGTTGTATAGTATATTCACGAGGTTGCAACTGCGTGGTTATAGCTTTATGCGATTCTGAAGTGATTTTCTCTTTATGAGCTATCACGTTAAAAATTAAAGCAATTAAATACATTACAGAATTTTAATGAATAAATTGCCATTGTATAGTTTATCCTAAGAACATAATTAATAATCACTTAAAAGGAAAATATCTTTTAATAGTTATCTATATTACTATTTGTGAAGTGATTTTTTCGCTCATAGTTTCTACCTTGAAAATTAGAGCGGTTAAATATATTACTTCTTTTGATGAATAAATTTTGTCATTATATAGGTCATAGGAAAACAGTCATTTCATACCTAACATATCTCGATGTGTTTAATTCATAGCGACTTATATGACCATGAAAAAAATATACATGTACTTTTTGAAAATTCGAATAACATACCCATTGTTTACCTTTTTGGACAACTTATACACCATTCGCCACATCACCTGCTACATCAACTAATTTTTCTAACATGGATGCTAAGTAAAATAAATTTGTTGACGAAGATGCCACGAGTACAACTTTATTTTAAAAAGGTAAAATAAAAAAAGTCATTTTATAAAAATATATTTTTAGAGAATGTAAATGTCTATAAAAATGTTGAAAGTTTATAATTTTTATTATTTAGTAAAACTAACGAAATTTAATTGGGTTTAGAGGAGAAACCTTTATTTTCCGTACCCCTGGACCCCGGACTGTAATCTGGAAGAGGAAGAACTAGTCTCGGCTCCAACTTGGGTTATTTTGCAGAACATCCCTCCACAACTCTTCTTTGGACGGAATCAATGTTAGAGCAAGTGGCTTTGATGAGCCTCTCCACGCAGAGAACTCTAAGCTTGACCCTTACCACTTTGGAGACACTAAGGTTAAGGTTGAGATAAGTCTGGATTTCCCATCGCCCTCTTCAATGATTGTGCGTGATTCTCAGGGATTCTCCGTTCGTATTAACGCCAAGTATCCACGCAGCCTTCCTCAGTGTAGCAACTGTGGGAAATTTGGCCACTTGCTCCCTAAACCTTTGCAAAAGAAAGCCTTTCACAGAGAAGGGAACATGTCAGGAAGTTTTCTACACTCAAGAAGCAAAGCTAAAGAAGTCTTAGTAACTGAGGACTTGAATGCCGAAGCTTCATGTTCTCAACAACAAGGGCCTCAGCTTGAAGATGTTCCACCCCCTCTGTGCACCCCTGAGGCATCTCGGGTGCTCGCCCTCCACTGTCTCCTACTTGAATGGTGTCTCCATGCTTCCTCATAAAACCTTAGAATCTACTCCCACTAAGAAAACTCACTCAGAGTGGAACCAACAAGATTCAGCACCTCTGAACTTGCGGTCAATCGGACACATGAAAGACTCGTCTAGCAGAATGCTTCTGTTGTGAAAAAATACGAATCAACTCGAAGAAAACTAAAGAAAGCAAAACGAATTGAGGCAAATACCCGTTTAGGATTTTTATATTATTATCTGAATAAATAACTTTACAATTCCTTAGATCCATATTTATATCAGCCTCAAAAAAATCGATTTATTTTCCCAACAAAAATGCATACTTATCTATAGGAATGCATACTGTACCTTGTTTGAGAACACTCATGGCTGAGGCTACGAGTTGAAAAAAGTTGAGTACTTTGTTTGATTGCTACGGTCAAAACTTGTGAGGTCTATGAATAAAAAAAAAGTAAAGAGTTTGATTGCTAAGGTTAAGGAGAACATTGAAAACTTGAGAGGTTTATTTTTGTTCTGGTTCACTTAGGATTGAAGAATGAGATGGATGCTATGAAACTTAGAGTAGTGTGAGTATTGGAACTTCGAGTTTGACATGCATTAATTTTGGATTATAGATGTTTACATCTGGTTTAAGTATCTTAATTGTCAATTGAATGTTGATTTCTGGAAGCTCGGTTTATTATCTCTAGAATTAGCTTGTGTTAAGGCTAGGCTAAATATGATTCATTAGCTTCTAATTTGATTCCGGAAGTTTTAGACTTTCACTACTCCAAACATTTGGATTTAGCAGTTGAATTTTTTGAGGATTGACAAAGGATATGATGACATTAGAGAGGAGATATTTGATGTGACCTTGTATTTGACTAGGAGATAATCATCTTTGAGAAAGATTGGTAATGTGTTATTTTCTCATACTAGAGCCCACCTACTAATAGTGAACAAATTTTCTACAAAACCAAGAGACACAAACAAGTTAAACATTATATTAAAGACAGATCTGATCAGAAAGCATAAATGCAAAAAGAAGACAACAAGTATCAAGCTTTCAAGAATAAATAACTGGAACAATCATTAGTATCATAAAACCCTAAAATAATGAAAATCCTATACGGTAACAATATATGTTAAAAGACTAGAGATTCTCATTAAATCAATCTCAATTTAACATTTTCCATTATATCTAACATACAAAACCTCCTTCAATAATATTTGGTCTAACAAGGACTACGGTTAACAATTTAATATTATATAAGCCTCCCCCCACCCCATCCCACCCCCTCCCTCCCCAACATATCTAACACTTTTGTTATAAAATTGGTGTAACACAATAATCAATTTTTTGAATTCAATCATAAACAAATTCACTGGTTAATTTTGAAAATGAACCCCAAAAAGATCTAGATTTCTAATTACAAAAAGATCATAAAAAAATTTTGAATTGCAATCGTAAACAAGTTCACTGGTTAAAACACTACAAGAAAACACGTCCTTTACTAGGACGGGTTTTCCTCGTTATTTCCTAGTAAATGGCCCTTTACTAGGAAATAACGAGGAAACGTGTTTCGTCGAAAGACGTTCATCGTAAAGCATATTTTTCTCGTAATTTCCTAGCTAATTTACGAGAAAAAGTTTCCTCGTAAAGGCGTGGAAAAGGTTTCCTCGTAAGCTCCACGTAGACTTTCCTCGTAAGGGCATAGTAAACTATTTCCTCGTAACCTCGTAGTAGGTTCTTTACGAGGAACTTGCTAGGAAAGTTTACGAGGAGTTTACTTCGAAACTTTTACGAGGATTTTGCTTCGAAACAATTTTTTCCTATTTAAAAAAAAATATTTATAAATTTAAAATTATATATATTAAAAAAAATTAAAAACCCAAATTATAAATAAAAAATAAATAACTAAATATATATAAATAACTAAATAATATACAATTAATAAGTTTTTAAATTCATAATATACAATTAAAAACTAAAAAAAAAAACTAAAAGGGATGCTGCTGATCTTGAAATTGGTGCACGAAGTCGTCGTCTCCAATGTCGGATGGCGGCTGTGACTGAGATGGTGGAGGCTGTTGGGATGGAAGGGCTCCGCTTTCCCGTCTCTGACGCAACATCTCCGCCACTTGCAGGTTTCCAACCGCCATAATGTCGAGGATATCCGTGAGCGTACTCACATGAGCCTGCGTCGCCTGCAACTCCATCCGCAGCTGAGCATTGTCATCGGCTTGTTGGTGAACATAAGCCGATGTCACTGCGGGGACATCGTTAACCGAGCCAATCCCGACAACACGGCCCTTTTTCCTCGGGACGACCTGTAAATAAAAATATTAATAACGTAAGAAAAAATTTAAATAAATAATAAAAATTAATATATTAAAACAAATTATTTACCTCCTCGTAAATCTTATCCACTTCAAGAGTGGATAATACGACCGGAGCCCCAGTCTGCTGAGTCAGCTGGGTCTGGCGCTCGTCAACTCGGGCNAAATTTAAATAAATAATAAAAATTAATATATTAAAACAAATTATTTACCTCCTCGTAAATCTTATCCACTTCAAGAGTGGATAATACGACCGGAGCCCCAGTCTGCTGAGTCAGCTGGGTCTGGCGCTCGTCAACTCGGGCAGCAACCTCGTTGTAGATCCGCTCGGAAGCAGGATCTACAAACTGCCCACTCTTCCTCTGGTGGGTCCGCTCGTAAAGGTCTTTCAGAGATGGAAGAACTCCTGTCTCTTTAGCCTTAATTTTTTTTTAAATTAAATATTAATTTAGAATATTAGAATATTCAAATAAAGTAAAAATTAAATAGTTATAAAAAAATACCATGTCTAGACGAACTCCCCCGTGAGGCTTTCGGCCCGTGGTGTGAAGCATCTTCGTGTTGCCATGCTCGTCTGTGGCCATGCGGTTCCCAGAATTTGTATGGGAGGTTCTGATCGAGTCCGGCAACGCCCAATAGCTGATGAGGCCATCCCACACCGTGGTTGTGAGGCAATCGGGTTTCCCGCGCTCGTAACCGTTCACCTGATTTAAAATAATTAGAATTAAAGTCAATAATATATATTTTTAAAACTATAATATATATATATTATAATTTTTAAATTTATACCTGAAAGTTGCCCTTCCAGTTGTAGACCATGTCGCACAATCGTGCTTTTGCCTTGGTCTCGAACTCTGACTTCACCCGCTGGTGAATCCCAATAGACCAACAGTATTTTTGCTGCAACCAGAAAAAATAAAAGATGGATTAGTTCAATAATATTCATAATTTTAAATGATTAAAAATAAATTAAATTGATTTACTAAACTTACAGCGAACGATTTGAACCACGTCTTTTTGGTGTGGCTCGCCGCCAGCTTCCAGTTTGGAACTGCATCGGGAAAGTATCCCTTGATACAGTCCGTGACGCTAGATCCGACAGAATTGTCAAGACCAAACCTGGAAAGACAGAAAATAAATCATTAATTAGAACATATATATACCATAATACTTTTTAAAAATTAATTAAAAATTTTAAAAATTAAAACATACCATAATACGTTTTGGCCGTCCCGTCGGAGAGGATCTAACTCTGGCAGCCCTTCTCTGCCTGGAAGGGCCAAAATATCCTCCACCGTGTACACCGCAAATGGTGCGTTCGGCGGCACCTGCAAGTCAGGATGAATCCCGACCGGTGGAGGAGGAGGAGGAGGAGGCGGAGGAGGTGGCTGCTGAGACCGGGATGCCGTAAAACCTCCCTGAGCCTCGAGAACTCCAAAAGGTGAACCACCGGGAGCTGACGAAGACGAACTAGGCCCGAATAGATCTCCATAATGAATCCCCTGATCTACAGGCCTCCTGGACTGAGCAGCAGCAACTTTGCTCTTTCTAACCATCTAAATTTAAAAAAAAAAAACAGAAAACATTAATTCTCGTATAAATTTGTATAATTTTTAAAAACAGTTAAACAAACGTAATCTAAATTTCCTAATCTAACCAACTAATCTAAATTCCCTCAACTAACCACCTAATCTAAATTCCCTAAACTAACCACCTAGTCTAATCACCTAACTAGGAAATAGAGAGTACCTTAAGAGAATATGGAGAGCAGGTTACTATGACTGAGAAGTCGGATTGCTCGTGTATATATAAGGAATTTTGTTTCCTCGTAAAGCTCTAGTAATGTTACTAGGGCTTTACGAGGAAACAGCTATGCCTGTGTTTTCATTTCCTCGTAAGGTCCTAGTAAGGTCCTATAAATAACATTACTAGGATTTTACGAGGAACCATCTTTACGAGGAAATAACTATGCCCGCGTTTTTTTCCTCGTAAAGTCCTAGTAATGCTTACGAGGAAATAGCTATGCCCGTGTTTTCTATTACTAGGGCTTTACGAGGAAAGGGTTTGTAAATCCCTAAACTCGAAACCCCAAACCACAACTTCCTTAACTTATAACCTCTTCTACAACTAAACTCCTAACCTCTTCTACACCTAAATCCCAAATTCATTTTTTTATTAAACAAGCTTAAAACAGTCAGTAATTCAACTCATTTTTTGTTATTAAGCAAACTTATAAAACATACATAATTCATTCGGATACATTCTCATAATCCGTAGAAACATCATCATTTTCGGCAAACTCGTCCTCAACACCGTCGTCCGTTGAGTGATCAGGGACATCTTCGTATTCACGATTATGCGGATCAATGAGTCGGATGTCATCAATTTCTGCTTCAGGTTTCTCGATTTCATTGGTGTTTTCTTCTTGCAATGGTGGTTCTTCTCCCTCGATTATCCGTCCTCGAGGTGTCACTTTGATAACAGCTAACCAGTTTATTCCCGTTGTAGTAATCCGAGGGTATGGAATGAAACAAACTTGATCTGCTTGGGAAGCTAATATGAAAGGTTTGACTTTTTTGTACCTGCAAAAATTAAGACAACGGATAAATTATTAGTTCTCAGAACATGCATGTACATATGTCAAAAAAGAATTTGTTGTACCTTCGTCCACCATTGACGTCAACTACACCATTCTTGTTAATCCGAACACC